CGACTTTTGGACTTCAGACATTGCAACGAGGGATTATTTGGGACTCGTGACAAAGACTTGGTGTTGACGACATTCCCATCTCTCTCCCTCCTTTCGTCTGATCCCCTCCTCTTCGTCTGTGTATGTCTGGACCTGGCGCTTCCTCCCTGTGTACAGCGCCAGGCTCCTTCACACCTTGTGATGGATATGATGTATGTATGGTCTGCATCCAAACATTGATTGGGCTAGTCATTAGCATTCTAGCTTTCTGCTTCGCTATCTTGCACGACGTGAATGAGGTCAGTCCCGTTCAGGTCAGGACTTGTATCTAAGTCTTCCACTGCGCTATTCAGCACCCTTTTGTATGTACGAGAATGCACATTGCTTGTCGAGATTCTACTTGCACTGCATTGTGCTTTCACAGCACGTGAATTAGGACAACCTGATCTGACACGTGTGCGGGACCAAGTAGCTGATTAGTCTTTATTGATTGATTAGAGCACACTAGATAGCCCCAAAATCATGATTTTGACCTTACTGCCAAAAATCGAAATTTGTTTTTCTTTCCTTGGATTTTGTTTTCTCGTTATTTCTGTTGTAGAAAATCGTAATAGTGCAACATCTGAAATTTCGAAATTTCGTTGTTGAAAATCCGGAATATCCTGTTTTTCAAAAATTTCAATTTCCTGTTGCATTTCCCGTTACTTAGAAATTCGAAATATCTGCTTTTTTGAATTTCATTTTTTTGAAAACGGTACGGGAAATCCCTCCTGCAAGTATTATTTTCCAAACTGCGAATATTCTCATATGAGAAAATCTGAATACTTTGTCATTTCTTTTCGGAACTTTTTTTTCCGCAGTTCTAGGATTCTGTTAGTCAGTTCTATAAATCATTTGCAGTCTGAAGTCAAATTTTTTTTTCTCTCATTGATCATTTCGCACTTCAAAGGAGGTTGGGAGACCTACTGAACTTGCAAAACTCGGGATTTTATTATTTCAATTTTTTTTTGCAAAGTTCAAACTTTTCTTTTTGATTAGTGGCTCTTTATCTGGGCGATTCTCCCCACCCTCCCTTCCCACCTATGTTGTTGCCCCCTCCGGCCTTACCTTCTCTATCCATCCCCCGGTACCCCCTGCGACGGCATTGGTGAGTTGCCACGTCAGCAGGCCACGTCAACAGACTACGTCAGCAGGACACGCCAACAGACCACGTCAGCAGGCCACGTCAGCAGGACACGTCAGCAGGCCACGTCAGCCGACAGAGCAGGAAATACCACGTCAGCAGGCCCCCGGTCTGGCATATGCTGTTGCGGTCACATACAGCCGTCATGGACCAGAGGTCCGGAGAAGCAGACGAGGCCTATCAGGCCCGGATGCTGGCTTGGAGTACCGAAACAAAGAAACAGGCAGATAACGCAGCAGCAGCAACGAAGAAGAAGGCAGAGGATGCCGAGCAGGCACGTCTACTGGCACTTGAACAACAGCGCCAGCATGACGAAGCAGCAGCAAGGGCTTCCAATGAAGAAAGAAACTAACGTCATGAGAAGATATTTAGTGGAGAGCAGACTTTGCTCACAACGGCAGCGGCATGGCGGACCGAGGCCGAGAATGGCAAGTTGGAGGATTGCGAAAACAAGATCGCTCTCCTCCTCTAGCATCTCACAGACCTCCTGGCTACATGCATTACACAGCAGGAGGATATCCACAACCTCGACGACTCGCTAGCTCAAGTCCAAGGCCGCCTTCAGCAGCTAGAGCAGCGACCAGTCGCCGCCGCCGATGCAAGCTCTTCCAATACCTCCGATTGCCTCGACGCATTGGAGATGGACGTCGGCTCCCTCAAGGATGGCGTGCAGTCACAGCAGACCGCAACGCAACAGTTGGAATAGCGGATCTGTACCGCAGCCAACACCTCGAGTCCGGAATCGCGCGACATAGCTCTAAAGTTCGACGGGCAGGAAATCTTTTGCGACTCGACAAAGACAGATCCAATTCCATGGTTCCGCAAGTTTGAGCTCACACTGCAGCTACACAACGTCAAAGAACACAAGCACCACACATACTTGTACTCTCGCTCAGGGGGCGCTTGCCAGGCTTGGTTGGACAACCTCTTGTCCAAGTACGGAGTGGTAGCTGCCGACTTGCACACCAAGATCAGTTGGGATGATCTGAAGGCGGCGTGGCACAAGCGGTTCCAAGTCGAGCCGCCCGAGATCAATGCTATGGACAAGCTCATGGTCTTCGAGCAAGGCACGCTGCCAAGTACCGACTGGATCGCCGAGTACCAACGCTTGACGTCAATCCCACACATCCAGTTGGGCTTCAAGGCCATCCGCCATTACTTCATCTCAAGGTCATGTCCGGCATTAAGCAATGCGCTTACTCACGTCGGGGACACTTTGACGACGACGGCGAAACTTTTTGACAAGGCCGCACAGAACATCATTACGAATTTACGAACAAGGAGGCTAAGAACCTCCGTTCGTCTGCGTCAGGCCCGAGCAGGGACCAGCATCGGCCAAGAGTGGCCGTGGTTGCGGCGGCAACGCCGTTTGACCAAACCAGCGAGGCTGTGTCTGCCAGTGAAGGGGACAGACTCGCAGCCGCCCGGGAAGGTGGCAGCTACGGCAGAGGTCCAGGACGTGGCAAGACGAAGACACACACTGCATCTAGCCCCGGACCCGACGCAACAGCTCCAGCCCCTTGGTCCCAATATGGCATCTCCGAGCAAGCATTCAAAGCGCGCGAGAGATTCCACTATTGCCTTTGGTGCAACAACGATCTTCATCAGACACTGGTCTGCCCGTTGAAAGGCAAGGGCAAACAGGGAAACTGAGCACCGCCAAGAGTAACTCGACAACACTCTCGACGCCTACGGAACCGGTTTCTTCGCGAGTAACCGGCCTTCATTCTGAGGCGCACGCGAAAATCGATAGTCCTCTTCTATTTTCTTTTGAGGACTATGCTGCCCGGCTCATTCCTACGCTGGGTACTCAAGCTCAAGGACAAGAAGTGTGTGCGGTTTCTTCTCCGTCCGATAGTGGCGACTTATCATCTTCAAGTGGTTCTTCACGGGATTCGGCGCGCGAGTTCAACATAGAGGTATTGGACCCGCTCACGTCCGAGGACTTTACATGGCTTCCTCTTCCGACCACAGGCTGCTTGCCGGGACCGCAATGCGTAGCACTATGCGCTCATCTCCACACTTACTTATCCTTCTATGCACCACCAACTTCGCCGACGGATGACGAAGTCGCGGTGGGGTACATCCTTGGGTATACTACCAAGGTGGCCCGCGAGTTTCGCACGCAGCGGTACGATGACAACAACGCACCACTCATGTATGTCCGCATTCAAGTTGGGCAAGCGTCCTGCATCGCTCTGCTGGATAGCGGCGCTTCTCACAATTTCATGAGCCAATCCTTCATGCAAAGGGCTGGCCTTGGCGCACAAGTTCGGAGGAAGGGAAACCCGACGGCGATCAAGTTGGTGGATGGGAAAATGCAGCAACTTCTCAACCGTTACATCGAGGCAGTACCGGTCTATTTCGCACCTCATGTATGCGAACCGGTGACATTCGATATTCTCGACACAGACTTCTACATCATTCTGGGGATGCCTTGGCTTGCAAGTGCGGATCACACGGTCAACTTCCACCGGCGGGCTCTTAGCGTTCGCAACGCCTTCGGCGCGGAAGTGGCGTGTACTATTCCTCTACCGCACCCTTCGATTCGGTGCCAAGTGGTGACGGCCAAATCATTCCGAGCGACTTGCGCTTACGAGCAGCCCGAGGAAATCGGCCTATGTTTCCTACGGACCGTTGCGGTAGCCGATGCTTCACCCACGGACTTGTCTTCGGACCCCCAGGTGGTGCGGTTACTGGACGAGTTCGCCGACATCTTCGAGTCACCTACCGGTGTGGTGCCGGATCGGCCAATCTCTCATGAGATCATTCTTGAGGCAGGTGCCGTGTCGTCGAAAGGTTGCATCTATCGGATGAGCGAGGAGGAGCTTGAGGTCCTCCGCGCACAACTCGACGATTTGTTTGCCAAGGGCTGGATCCGCCCTAGCAGCTCCCCATATGGAGCACCGGTTCTCTTCGTCCGGAAGAAGAACAAGGATCTACGATTGTGTATCGACTACCGCAAGCTCAACACGCAAACCGTCAAGAATGCGGGGCCTCTCCCTCGCATCGACGATCTTCTTGAGCGACTGGGCGGCGCAAAGTATTTTTCTAAGTTGGATTTGAAATCGGGATATCATCAAATCTCGATCCGGCCGAACGATCGCTACAAGTCCGCGTTCAAGACGCAGTACGGGCATTTTGAGTGGGTGGTCATGCCTTTTGGCCTCACCAACGCCCCGACGACCTTTCAAGCGGCAATGACCAATGAGTTTCGTGCAATGTTGGACCGGTTCGTGCTGGTCTACTTAGACGATATTCTCGTCTATAGCCGGTCATTGGAGGATCATCTTGGGCATCCTCGACGAGTGTTGGAGACGCTCCGCCGCGCCAAGTACAAGGCCAACCGCAACAAGTGCGAATTTGTCCGGCAAGAGCTGGAATACTTGGGCCATTTTGTCACACCGGAGGGCATCAATCCGCTATCGAACAAGATTCAAGCCATCCAAGAGTGGTCGGAGCCTCGGAACGTCACGGATGTCCGTTCATTCCTTGGCCTCGCCGGCTACTACCAGCGTTTTATCAAAGGCTACTCGAAGATCGCGGCCCACTTGACCAAGCTTCAATGCGAGGATCGGTCGTTTGACTTCGGAGAGGAGGTGCAGCAATCATTCTTTGCTCTCAAAGCCGCACTATTATTTGCGGAGGTCTTGCGTATATACGACCCGCTTTTGCCTACGCGCGTCACTACGGATGCATCAGGCTATGGCATTGGTGCAGTCCTCGAGCAACATGATGGTGTGGACTGGCACCCGGTCGAGTATTTCAACAAGAAAGTGCCCGTCAAGCATTCCATTGACGATGCACGCAAGAAGGAGCTCCTTGCCTTCATCCACGCGCTCAAGCGGTGGCGGCATTTCCTCCTTGGTCGAAGCCAATTTCGATGGGTAACGGACAACAATCCGTTGGTCTTTTACAAGACCCAAGACACCGTCAACAGCACCATCGCTCGATGGATGGCTTTCATCGACCAGTTCGACTTCTTTCTCGATCACATTCCCGGGAAGTCGAACCGTTTTGCGGATGCTCTTTCACGGCGTCCGGATCATTGTACCGCGGTGTACTCAACCTTCGAGATCGACGATGACTTGTGGAACAGCTTCATCCGCGGCTACCAAGCCGACCCCGAGTTTCGCGACAAGTACGCGAATTGCTCCTCTCCTAACCCGGCGCCTTGCACTACCGAACCCAAGAGGGGTACGTGCTTGTCCACACGCGGGGGAAGGACCTTCTTTGCGTACCAAGTGATCCTCACTTGCGTACACGGTTTCTTGGTGAGTTCCACGATGCTCCCGCCACCGGACACTTTGGAGTCAATCGCACCATTGGCCGACTTCGCCTGCGATTTTGGTGGCCCAGCCTTCTCGGCGACGTCACGCGTTATTGCGAGTCATGCGAGGTTTGCCGACGCTGCAAATCCTGCAACCATCGTCCGTACGGCGAGTTACGACCATTACCGGTCCCGTTGAGGCGAAGGGAAGCGATTGCCATGGACATTACCGGCCCGTTCCCCAAGCACAAGACCGGAGTGGATGAGATTCTCACGGTGGTCGACCGACTCACCAAGTTCGCCATGTTTTTGCCTTGTCGCTATCATGCCAAGGCACTAGAGTTGGTCGAGGTTCTCTACGCCGGTTGGATTCGAACCAAGGGTTACCCCAAGGAAATCGTCTACGATCGCGACACTCGGTTCATGTCCGATCTTTGGTTGGCACTCATCAAGCGATGGGGCCCATCTCTGAAGCCCAGTTCAGCTCGCCTACCTCAGATTGATGGCCAGACGGAGAGGGCGCATCAGACCGCACAGGTTCTCCTTCGCACTCTCATCCGCCCCGACCAGAAGGACTGGGTTGAGCGGTTGTCGGATGTCGAGTTGGCCTACAACTCCTCTATCCACCCGGCTATCGGGATGTCGCCCTTTGAGTTTGAGCACGRCTCGCCGGTCACTTCACCGTTGGACACTATTACTCCACGAACGGCCGAGAGCGACGACCATCTTCTTTTCTTGCATCGAATGCAAGAGCTTCTTGTCAAGGCACGCGGTCAGATGGCTAAGACGCAGCTACGCGTGACCCAGCAGGCCAATCGCCAGCGTCTTCCTTGCCCATTCCGCGCAGGGGACCTCGTTTGGGTTTCCGCAGCGGAATTCAGCCTTGAACAAGACATCTCTCGCAAGCTCCTCCCGAAATGGATGGGGCCTTGGCCGATCGTAGCACCTGCTGGGGACGCACCCGAGGGACCTTCCTTCACGATTCAGGTGCCCGGCCACTTGCCCGTCTACCTAGTCTTTCATTGCTCCAAGTTGGCTCTTTACACGCCAGCGGAACATGACCATTTTCCCGGGAGACGTTCGCAAGACCCACCTTCCATGGACGGTTTTCAGGAGGTTGGCGACATCATCTCCCAGCGACGCTACGGCAACAGGCCAACCAAGTATTTAGTGCATTTTGCATACTGCACACGCTGAGCTGACCGTTGGTTGACCCGTGCGGAACTTCAAGCAACAGCTCCAGACGTTCTCGCACGCTACGAACGCAAGATGCAAGGCAAGCCGGTTTCTTTGGCTCCACGCAGCGCCCGCGTCCAGGTTCCACCTTCAGATTGTCGGCTTCGCCCTCGCCCCGGCTTGACTTCATAAGGAGGGGGGGGTGTTACATGCCGCGCCTGCACACGAGGGCCATTTTCCAGGCCCTGCGTCCTTCAGGCTAAAAGCCTGAAATTCAGGCTTAAAGCCTGAAAACCAGGGCCTACAGGCCCCGTGACTGTTCAGCCCGAAAGCTTGAAAACAGGGGCCTACAGTCCCTGTGTCGTTTCAGACTAAAAATGGCAATAGCCTTTTTAGCCTGAAACGAAGGGCCATTTTCGGTCGTTCATC